AAATTGACGTAGAGGTGTAGTAATTTGTGGATCGAGATTAATAGTTAGTCGGCGGTATAGTTAATGTTAATTTATGTAAGGAATTGCGTAATTCAGTTTTTTGTTTGTTGGTGAGATTGGTTCTGCAAGTAAACTGGAGATGGGGCGTGTAGGGAGTTAGTGGGGGGTGGGGGGGGGGGGGGGGGGGGTCTTATAGGAATATTTGGGTGAGGATGTACAACCGGGACCCCGGAATCCTCGGCCTATAAAAGACTATAAAAAACAACTAAATTCAGTTGCACTATCCTACTCCCCAAACCCCTCCCTATCCTAGAATCGGTCGACGATTTCTTTGCTATTAAACTAAGATGCAGGTAAATTCAAATTTGTCGATTTAATTGATTTGAGAGTCAAGTCCCCGTTCCCCTAGTCGAGACTAAAATCCTCAACCAATCGACCAGTTTCCTGCGGACTGCCACTCAAATTCAGTTCATGAATTTCGAGGGAGCAGCTGCGCTAAGTTGGTACGTCATTACAAGGACAACCTATTCCTGATATTTTTCATACTGGAGCTCGATTGTTTTCCTGAAACACAACGCCAGAGACTGATCAGTCAATGATCAGTTTGGTCGTAAATACTTTCTTACAAGTTTAGTAGCAGTAACTTGAAATAAGGTTTACATTATTCCTTCGTTTACAATGTTTGCTTGAAGTAGTAAACAAATTAAAAATGGAAAAAAGACGGTTCCTCAGAGTAAGACAGCTGAACGGATCACTATACCAAAACGTATCTTACAATCTTAACGAACAATTCGCAAGGTATATTTTTGATAAAACAATTTAACGAACTAACACTCTCTAATCAAACAGGGCAGACTCAAAAATGGGTTTCTTTCCAAAAGAAGTGTTAACGAGACTTTTTTAACAGAACACCAGTTGCGAGAGTATAGGCGACTTTCTTTACACAAGGAGCAAAAGAAAAGCGATAGGAAAAATAAAAAAAACAAAAAACTGAACGTTCTAAATAAATATTTTCGCCATAAAATTTAAGTCAAGCCGTAACAGTCCGTACCCGTCCGGTTACGGGAACACAAAAAGAGTCTGGCAATAACTTCCTTCGTTAAAATCAGTTATCCCCGAGAAATACACTTTTTAATAAACACTAAAATACTATAAGGATCTTTCCTATTAAAAATACTAGTTATTGACTTAACACCTTTTAAGCTAGTACAATTTCGGAAATGAACACCCCTTATCTAGAATATTTTGAATTATCATTTCAACGTTGGAAATTGTCTTTTTGAGTACTATTGCCTTAAACTCTTTAATTATTTAGACCCTATCCCAGAATACTGCTTGAAACCTTACCCTTCACAGCATCCGCACATACTTACATAGCCCAAATATGACAGCAGTCCCCCCTGGTTGAGCAGCTTAGATTTTAATTAATTCATTAGTTGCTAACAATTACCGTAGGAAACAATAAAGTTCCTTGAAACGTCGTTTTGGATGTCTTTTGAAGGCGTTTAGCCTCCTTGTCGTGTTTTTTTTTATTCAGTGGGTTTGGAAATGCTCTTTCTTAAGGTGAAATGAATTCACGTGACCCAAAATTCGTGTTCATATTCGGAGGGCAGGGTCTCGAATGGTATTCAATGGGAAGACAACTAATTCAGAATGAAGTTGTTTTTAAAGACGCCATTTTTGCTGTAAGTGACTTAGTGAAGGTTTTAGGGCAACCATGGTCACTTTTCGAAGAGCTTATGGCATCAGAAGATGAATCCAAGATGGTAGAAAGCTCGGTTGCTCAGTTGACAACATTTGCGGTGCAGTATGCAACTGCAGAACTTCTGAAGTCCTGGCGACTACATCCAGCAGCTGTCCTTGGCCAGAGTTTGGGCGAGTGTGCAGCTGCTTGTGTTGCAGGAATAATTACACTGAAAGAAGCAGTGCATCTGGTATTGATTCGTTCCACTTTGCAAGACGAATGTCCAAAGAATGGTCGTATGGCCGCTGTTGGTATGTCGGAAGACCAGGCAAGGAAACTTCTATTAGATTTGAAACTAAGTGTCTCACTTAGCATTACTGCAGTCAATGACCCCACAAGCGTGACAGTGGCCGGTGATTCGCAGTCAGTCAGTGCACTGGGTCAGTATTTAGAGACCCACGCGAAAAACACATTTTGGCGAGTTTTTGGGACCAAACGAGCATTTCACAGTCCACACATGGATATTATCCAGAAACCTTTTAAAGCAGCCATGAGGCAAATCAACCTAAATCCTCGGCCGTCAAATATTCCAGTTTACTCGACCGTAGAGGGTAAAGCAATCTCGGTGAAATGTTTAACAGCGACTACTGGTGGCGCAACATTCGCTGTCCAGTTCAGCTTCACTCCGCATTAAAGCACATGTTAGAGGACGGCTTTCAGCAAGTAATTGAGATAAGCACGCAGCCGATGATAGCCTACCATGTAAAGCAGATTGCCGTGCAGGAAAATCTTGGGGACCAGGAATGGCCTTTTGTCTTGGCAACTCTTCCACGCAAAACAGTCCCTGTCAAGGAGCAGCACGAATTCTTTCTTCTCAATACAGTTTGTAGGCTTCATACCCTGGGATTTACCATAGACTGGTCTTGCGTGAACACCACTTCTTTGGCTAAGGTAATTCGTGAATTTAACTATTCTTCGTTGGAAAAAACTTCCGATACAGATATTGGTAGCCTCAAACTATAAACCTTCCATGGACACTTCTTTTAAATACCATGAAATTATTTCAAAAAATCCTCAAGCGTACATTCATTTAACATGCGATTATCCATTTCCTGGAATATCTACGTCCAAAACACTAGATTATATATTATAGATTTTAATTTGATTTAAACTGTCCATGATATACCGTGCGACTTGCAAAATTTATCCAAGAAAGTATGCAAAAGAGAAGCTCGCCACCGCAGTTGTCCCTTTCGTAAACGGTCGCTACCATTTTAAAGACACTTAGAAAACTTTTGACCTTTTATTGAGAGTGTTTTTATTAAAAAGAAAGAAAATCGCAACTCAGGGTCGAACCCGGACCTTTTGTATCCTTGTCTCTCTTCCTTACCACTACACTTCCACAACGACCTGCCAAAATTCTGAAAAATATATAAAGTACATAAACGAAAAAACTGTTTTTCTTAACGGATACATCAATAACAAGTGAACCTAGCCCTTTCCACAACTTTTAACGTAAATTCAACTTCGGCTTCAACGTCGTTCTTTTGAAGACTATTCAAAAACGTATTATTTTGCTAATGGAAACTTAATCCTGGGAATGTATGCATCTATCATGACTAAACGTTTGGTTACTGATGGTAGCGTCAACCGTTAAAAATGGCAAAGACCGTTTACGAAAGGGAATAGGCCTTGCCGCCCTGTTGAAGAGTATGTTATTAAATGAAAATAACTTTATCGAAACACCTGTCATAATAGAGCGTTTTCACATGACGTCACGGCAGCCATATTGGTGTTCCAAAACAAAAAAACGGCGGCCATGTTGGTGTTGCAACCAATCCTGAGGGAGTTGATCTCTTTTCTTATGTAAACACTTTCTTTTGTTCCCATAAATTTGCATAGACGCTGGTCACGTGAGTGAAAACGCTCTATACAAATGGAGTTTTTCGGGGTCAACACCTCCAAGTTTGAGCGTAAAAAACGTCGCCCTTAATAAAGACTTGGAGAAACTCACCACCAAAGCAGTGCCAAAGCTGTATTCGATAAAGATGAAAATTTGTTTTGATCAGCGTTACAATGACATTGGAGTTGTTATAGCAACGAAATGACCCCATTACCTGTTTTAATTGCAGCCGTATTTCTCGATCCGCACTGGGAACTCTTCTTCAAAAATCGTTCACAGGAGCTTTTTCCTGTAGCAGCTCATTGCCTCGATGTTCGTAAAGTTTCAGCGAAATCTATAAGAGCGTTATCGAGATGTTTTGGGATGAACTTTTAATGGTTAGAAATACGGTAAGAACTGAACAATCTTGATGTTCGACCGTTATCTATAGAAAACGAAGCGCTTTTTAAATGCAATGTTACCTGATAGTAGCTTGAATCCTTTCAAAAACGTGTGTGAAAGATAATGAAGATAGCTTTAGACGATTGCCAGGAAGAAGGATTTAATCTGTATGTATCGAGGCGCTCTTGTTTAGCGGTTTTGGAAACATTTTGGTCTACTTAATCAAATAAGCGAATAATTTGAAACCGCTCAATATATTTTTTTGAAAATTTGAGATTCTCGAAATTAACCGTCGTTTTATAGGACCTTTCCGTTTCAAGATTATTTATAACTTGTAAGGGAATAAAATAAGGGCTACAATTCGCTAAATTTTTGTCGGAAATTTCGTTTTTGCAGTTGAGAGCCTCTCATTACACATACATACCAACTCTTAATACAATTAATTAATTAATTAATTAATTAATTAATCTGTATCGCCAAAGTAATTAATCTGTATCGAAAAATAAAGTCATGCAAAGACGAAAGGGTTCTCAGTCAGGCAACGCGTTCCAGAACTTAGCAGCAGTATAACTAAAAGAATTTAAGCCATAAGAAGTAGTAACAGGTTTAGGTAGACTAAGGATATCAGTATCTCTCATCGAATAATCAACAGATCTCACAGAAAGCAATTCTTTGAGATACTGCAGATACTGTTCAAGATGAAGACATTTATAATAAAGATAATTATAAGCATGTTCTGTATCCGCTTGTTACTGAGGGAACAGTCTCCAATCCGTTGCAATAGGCCACCGTATGACGAGACTTTGTTATTTAAGATGACCCTAAGAATGCGTTTGCTCAACATTTCTAGCTTATCCTTATTTCGAGAGTGACAAAAATGCCATACGGTAGAACAATGCAGGAAGTGTGGTATTATATGCTTTGTAGAAGCGTAATAAAACAGTGGCAGGTATAAGCTTATGAAATCTACTTATGACTTTGAATTGATTAGTTAAGTTTTTACATATGTTAGAGACGTGTTCATCAAAACAGAGTCTGTCATCCACAGTTATTCCAAACAATTCAATTGTTTTTTGTACCGGAAAGGAAAAAACATGATCTGTGTTTCCTTAGCTATTATCACGGCCTGGTGTTTGGTGGGATTGACCAACATACCGTTTCTTCTGTACCATTAGTTTGCAACATTGAGCTGATGCATGAGCCTCCTGTCAAATAATTTAGGGTCAGTGTCTGAGTCCTATAGTTGTTCATCATCGGCATACGCATGAAGCTTTACTTCCGTAATATGATAAAATAAGTCACTGAAAAAATATTAAAAAACAAGGGCCCATGTTTACTGCCCTGAGGTACTCCTCTGGAAACCGCTGCCCATTCAGATGTTACATCTTCGATTTTAACCTTCTGCAATCTTCCAGAGAGATATTCCTTGAACAGCGCACAAGCGCTGCTTCTCAGGCCATATGCTTCTAATTTGGCCAGAAGAAGAGCGTGTGGTATTGTATCAAACGCTTTCGATAAGTCCAATGAAACAATCCCAACAAGTTTTTTTTTGTCTCTACTCCTCCTCCAGTCCTCTGTGAGTCTAAGAAGCGACGTCTCACAACTATGGAAGTTTCTGTAGGCGGATAGCAAGTTTGATAGGAGCCCATTGTAAAATCCTTCAAGCTGAGATGACAGTAGCTTTTCAAATAATTATATTATTCAGAATGGGTAATACCGTTACTAGTATCTAAATAATCTCATTATTCTGGGGTATTGTCTCCAAGTTTCATATTTTCGTGGACAACAATAGCTAACATTTCTGCGTATTTCAAATGCATTGTTGGTTACTACCGTACACGTGAAAATGAAACTTGTAGACAAATAACCCTGAATAATGAGAGGCTTTACACTTGTAAACATATCATTTAGCTCTCTCTATTATTGAAATACCACTTTCTAAAAAAGAGAATAATCTCAAAACCAGGAAGCGCGTACACCGAAATGGAGCCAAGAGCTAGATAAATCCTTACCTAAAAAACACAGCCTGCCAGGAACTTCATTTTGACTTACATTTTACATTTTTACTAACTCAGTAAAACCGAGAAATACTGGGCGCTTTCCATTCAACCAAAACGTCTGGTTTGAATTCTCGGCAACTTCCAATAGCAAATGGAACAGCATCTTCCAAAATTTCCAGAAAAGAAAACAACCTCGCGTGGTATACCCAAATTTTCGAAAAAAATTTCCCGGAGGTTTTCTTTCCATTTAACTTGGCTGTTGGAATTTCTTGAATTTTCGGTTAAATGGTTTGCATTTCGGAAATTCAACAGCTTTCGAAATTTCTGCCGCTCTTTCTTTTTTTGCGAGACTCCTTCGGCCTCATAGGCAATTGTGACTCAGAGGCCATTCGGGCTCGAGGAATTGTTTTAGTAAAATCCAACTAGTTGGTCAAATTTATCGAGACAAAACAAGTTTAGCTTTTTAAAGCTATTCTTTAAGCCATGAATTTGGTTTTCAAAGCCGGCGCTTTCACTACTAGTGGGCTATAACATATCGCCTAGTAGTTGCTCAACCAATCAGAACGCAGCATTGATAATAGACCACTAGCTGGATTTTAAGGATAACCTGTGCCTGGCTTCTTTAAGTATCATACAATTGCAGCTCTACTGTCAAAAAGGGTTGAAAAAAGTCAAACTGGGTTCTTCCAGGTTATAATTTTGTTACATCAGCTAAGATGTCGCTTCTTTCTGAAGCCTGTGTAGTCTCGATAGTTCCGACGTTTTTCTTACCATCAGGCTTCTCGCTGCTCAGGCTTTGCTTACTTTCTTCTCCTGTTAGTCCCGTCGATACATGTGGCTTTTCGTCGCCAGTCTCCAAGCCTTCGTTATGAATTCCGGCGTTTTTCTCACCATCAGGCTTCTGGATGCTCAGACTTTGCTTATTTTCTTCTCCTGTTAGTCCTGTCGAGACATCCGGCTTTTCGTCGTCAGTCTCTAAGCCTTCGTTATGAATTTCGGCGTTTTTCTCAGCATCAGGCATCTGGACGCTCAGACTTTGCTTATTTTCTTCTCCTGTTAGTCCTGTTGAGGCATCTGGCTTTTCGTCGTCAGTCTCCAAGCCTTCGTTATGAATTTCTTTGAAAACGTTTACTATATATTGGTCGTAATCTATCCCATCATCTTCCTGTTTCTCGTAATCATTAACAGCGTCTTTGACGTTTTCTTCTTCAGCCCACTGCAAAGAAGGGTTATCGGCTCCTAGATCCGGGTATTTATTTCCGGTGTCTGCCAGCTTTAAATCGTTGCTACTTTCATCTCTCTTGTTAAAGCTGCTCTGTCTTTCTACTCTAACTCTGACTGAGATAGATGTGGTAATTTCAGACTTGCAACACAGCAAGGACATATAAACAGGCATAATGCACAAACCATGAATAAGGCCAAACCCTACGATTCCAAGGAACATTCGGAAAAAGATTCGGAATATCTCGGACGCAGCAAATGCTAATACGATCATTCCCAGGAATGTACTGAAACCTAAAAGAAACGAAAAAACAAGATAACTCTGCAGTTAGAGCATAGGAAAGGGACCATTTATTGCTGTCACTCATGTTCATTTGATCCATTTATTGGCATTTTGCGTGAGAAAGATATTATTGCGTAGTAAGTGAGCTGAGAGGGAACTGGGGACTAACACTGAGCGAGAGACTTAATATACAGTACTGCCTTCGTAAAAAAATCTGCAAACGGTTAAACGTTCTAGTCTTCTCGGATAAGGACGATATACGAGAAGCCTTTTCTCAGAACCGTTACACATATGATAATAAGTTCTGTGGGACATAAATCACCCACACAGTGCGTTGGTCTGTCTCAAACTCACACTCATATTAAGAGCATGCATAACTCATTAATTCTCACTGTTCATTACTTTCAAATTGCGTCATAAGAGGTTTGGCAAAAGTCTACCAAACGGTGATGTAAAAAGATCGCTAAAAAGCCTTTAGGGAAGTGAAAAGATGTTTCCGTTTTTTTCGCCTGTTCACAGGTTCTATTGCATCATTACATTACCTTAGTTCGTCGTACAATATTTAAATGAATAATAACCCGCCAAAATATAGATCCAAGCATTTTCCACTGTAAACCTGGTTGTACCACTATTTTGTTTGTAGTGCGGCTAATCATCTTGGTTGAGATAAGATCTCAAAATGTGATTTTTTTTTTGTAAGATTAATGAGGTTGACTTACCACCCATGAGCACACTCGCTCCCACAGTACTCAGAGCATCTACCACTCGCTCATTTGCAGATAACTTGTTGGACACAACGTATGCATGCGCAATGTGTGCGCTGTAATCAACTGCAAAACCAATAGCCATGACAAGATTTATCATGGACACAGCGTTGAGCGTCACATTCCAAATAACCATTAAACCAAACAGTTCGCATATCAAGGCTGCAAAGTTGAACAACACGAGGATTGCCACTGTGCAGTCTACCAAGAAGGGACTGGTGATGACAAAGACTGTAATGGCAGCGATTATGAGGTTCCGTATAGTTTCACGCGATGTAATAACATACTGTTCGAAGAAAATAAACAAACGTGTAATGGGGAAGGCGCTGAGTTTGGACTTTGTTTCTAGATCTTCGCGAAGTGTTTGCATGGCATTTTTCTGGAATGTAGATTCATCGTTACCTTTCATAAAGCAAATAATGCGCGAAGCTTCTAGCGCAGAGCCATTATCAGAAAACTTCAGATCTTGAGCGAAGAATGAAAATTCTGTTTGATTGAGGAAGACTTTCAAAGCAGGCAAAAATGCTGAACCGGTAGTGCTAATGCCAGTCCTGTTAGCAAATAATGAAAAGTGATCCATCCACGACAAAGCACCAGCTAAATAATGTTCGTTGCTTTCGACAATACTCGTTAGGTTTCTGATAGCTTGCTGGGTGGAAAATTTCTCATAGCTTACTTTTCCAGTTTCTACAATGCTGACTTCGATTGCAAGTTCAAAATGTTTTTCTTGAGCAGTCAGAAATCTTTTCAGGTAAGAATCATCCTTCGCCAGGATTCTTCTGTCGAATTTTTCCTCTACTCTTGTAACGCCGTATATTCCGGCACCAAGTAACCCTAGTGACAGAATTATAACAACTACTTTGGTGGCCGGATGGGTCAAAAACCTGCCCCAGGTCTCCAAAGCGCGATTTGATAACTGTGGGATCGGTTCGTCCCAGACTGGGGCGCCCTCCTTTGGCTGAGGTGCTCGGCAGTATGGTAAGCAGTCTCGACGACCTGATTTTATTCTCTTTACGTCGTTTGTCATGATGGCCACGAAATAGGTGATGATCATTAGGTAGGAGAATGTCACTGTTAGAGCCGCATAGATACAGAAATACCTGACAAAACATACGCACAGTTAGCGTGCTTTTTAACAAAAATGGGAGATATGTAAGTCAGCTGTGCCAAGCAATTTTTTTCGCCGTCCTTAAGAATGCATGACAAGCGGATCTGAACGTTGGTTGTTAAAACATACAAAAATATAATGGGGATGAACAAGCATTACTAAAAGAGAGCTGAAAAGAAGTGTTTTTATATTGAAAATAAGTAATATTTACATTCTCCAAACATACTTCACTTGTCTAAAAATTTCATGGTAATCACTGTCTTTATTTTCTTCATTACGAGCCCATCTCTGTCTTTATATAGTTGCAGCAACAGTCGAACCCCGCTTAATATGAACACCTCATTACTACGAACAGTTTGCTTTGTCCCTGGGGAAAGAAAGCCCTCACATTTTCTCCAAATTCAACCCGCTTAATACGGACAACCCTTCAATACGGGTACTTTCTATGCTCCCCTCAGTGTTTATATTAACGGGGATTGATTGCATTAAATTAGTTCCGTATATAGGTTTAAAGTTATTACCCTTACCTTATCGCTGGAAACGAGGAGGACGTACTAACAGCGAATGCCACAAGATCAGTCATAGTTGTCATGGTAACAGTGGCTCCTGAATGCGACATCACAGCCTTAATCTTTTCTGTTACTGACATGTCCCGTGGTTGTCGATCAAGTTCATCTACTAGAATGAACATGTCATCGATTCCAATCCCAAGAACCAAAAACGGCAACACGCCCATGAAACTGACGAAAGGAACGCGACACCACATGGCAAGGCCAAACGCGGATAGCATTCCAAGGGCCACAGCAAACACTCCTGTGTTAGCGAGCAACGAGTGACCGGTCAGCGGATTCAGGAACTTGCCGAGCATGACGCAAGCAAATGTGATCATTAGCGTAAAAGTGATTGACACCAGAGTGATGTCAGAGCCACTGCTTTCAGCAATAGCATCGTCCTGGCTTCTCTCACTTGAGTAATGGACTTTACAACAGGAAAAAGTACCGTCTAACGACTCCAGTTTGTCGATGAACTTCTTCTCTCACTCCAGAACTTTATCAATTTCTTTCTGGTCGCTGAAGTCATTCATTAGATACACCATTTGCAGTGCTGTGGCTTTTTTGATGGTTATGTCCGGTGGCGTGGTGCCACCAAAAGTGCGTTTAAAGTTGTAAGAGAAGGTCCGGCCATTTCGCGTCAAAGGGCTTGAGCTGTCATAAGCTTTTGTTATTTTCCCTAGAATCTCATCCAGGGTTTTGTTATCGAGGTTGCTCTCATTAAACTGTAAAAATTCCAGCGGGTTAATTATCATGCAGTCGACCTGTGTCTTTGCTTGGTCTCCTGACAGCGTGACACAGAATTGAGAGTATGATTCTAACTCCATAACTGCACGATGTGCCTTGAAAGCCTCCCGCAGACAATCAGGAGCTAGGACATTCAGATGATCAGGAGACGCCGTTAAAAGGACGATTTCCTCACGAGCTTTTAATCGGAAGTATTTATCGGCCCTGTCTAGATCCTCCATAGAACGACTACCTTGAGGAATATATAGATCTACTCCTCTGTTTTTTGCTTTGAACCAGACAAAACCCACTGAACATACACTTACAAATACGAGACATATTGAGATGATAATTAGCGGGTGCTTTGCGATTCCTTCGCCAAACCAGCCAAAGAAACGTTCCAGTTGAGTCATAAACCAACGACAGAACCTTGACCACCAGAAACATGGGCTGAACTTGGATGCACAGTAACCACTAGGAAGAAAAAAAAAAGAATTCTCTGAAACGTTTGCAATAAAGGCGCTTTCAGATTGCTGATTGCTTACCCTCCTTTAAGAACTAAACAAATCTTCTCTTAATTGTTGAATGACTTCGAGGTAACTCGCTCAGAGAGGGCGCAGCAATCGGCTATAAAAAGCTTGAAATTTGGCGAAAAAACTCACCACCTTTGTAGCTTTTCATTGGAAAAACCGTTATTTTTGTTCTTTTGAGTAACCAGAGAAAACATTTCGACTTAGCTTTTCATTGAGTATATCTCCCGGGGTATATCTCAGTGTGTATGTAATGAAAAAGGAGTTGTTTACAACATAGTTTTCAAGTTAGCCTATCTTCCTATGAATTTTATAAATAGATCATTTTTTGTCAGTTTGCAAGGGAGCGGAATTCTGCAAATCCAGCTAACTGGTTTCAAGGGCGGATTTTTTTGTATGTTTGTTTTTTTTTTTTTCAATACTACCCGCTAACCCTGGTGGAATCGGATTTAGAGCAAGAAAGCTTCAGATAATGTGCGGTACAACCGTGAAGAGGATTCGGATGTGGTTTGGTTTGTATATATCAACAACAACTGTATTCACATCAGTGAATCTCGTACGTAATGGATGGTGAATTTACGTACTATACACCCGGAAAAGCGAAGCCTTGAGTGCAGTCACCTGTAAATAAAAATACTCAACGCCATTGCAACTCTGGAAAATTGTCATATCAGTAATACAACAAAGTTAATGTCTGTTTTAATACCTAGGTTAAATAGTCCCCGAATCATGTATGTGATTGGTAGCGAATACTTGTGAAACTTAATGCAAAAAATGATTTTATATGAATTTTGTTAAAAATAAACAGATGCTGCCGATTCAGGATAAAAATGAGGGTACATTTTACGCCTTTAGTGAAATCAGGTGGGCGACCCCGTGTTAAAACTCATCAAACTTTTAAAATGATTTGAACCGTTACTCGGCTGACGGCCCCATGGCCGGACTAAAAATAAAAATCTGAAAAAGGAAAGGTCGCAGGCGGCATATTTTTTAGTTTACTGTTTCCATTAGAGGTATTTGTTGAGACATCCTACCTTCCAATTTCGCTACAGCTTTGTTCACAATATTTGCTACTTTCATATTTCATTTTGAAGATAACGGCAATTTTTTTTCCGCTTTCGACCGCTTAAAGTATTTATTAAATATTTTTTCTGCAATCAAAAAGATCAGTTTGCGGATAATTCTTATATTCTTAACACCTACCCTGTTAAAAACAGCTGAATTTACCATAGAACTGAATCTCTCATCAAAAGTCGCTCAAAACTCACTGGACACGACCAACCGAACAAGCAGTTGGTGAAAGCCCAAAAACCAAACATTGACTGATAAAAAAATTTGACCTGGACAGGAAAATTGGCTGACTTTGGCATAAATTGGACAGTTAAAAGATGATGGAGCCCCCCAGCAAGGGCATTTGAAATGATGGAAGCTCCAGTTTGTTGGTTGACTGTTTAGTGAGTAAGAGTGAAAAAAGAAAAAAAAATCTATAGATACCCCATATGGACGTTACTCCTTTCTTTCTCTTGTTCAGAAGGATTGCAAATCACTTCTTCGCTTCTTACTGCCATCTGGGAAAGCTAAATCTCTGATTATTATCGGCTATGGATACTCTTCAATTGCAACTACACGTTACGTTTGCGGCCTTGACTATTTCCATCTCGATTTATCGATGTTTCAAACAGCTTGTGGCACTTTCTTACGAAACGCATCTTTCGTGACACATTACGGACGTTTATGCAAATTTCTGTGGAAGCAAAACAATATTAGTTAGGCATAGTGACTTTCCATTGGAGGAGATCTTGGAGGTGTTACATTCTTTGGAATATAACGTCATGGTCCTTCAGACAAAACCTGTGTAACACTTTAAGACGGAATCCATCAGGAAATTGAGTAATTTCAATTTCCAGTGGACAAAAACCTTGTATCACAATAATTTAAAGAATATTGTATTCTTTTTTACATTTTTCAAGGGCTAAAGATGTAATTGGTCATCTGTAATAACATCAAAGAACATTTCTCATGGGAGTCCGAGAAACTGAATATCAAATTTGACAAGAATTGTGAAAACACAGGTAAAATTCTGAAAATTTATTGTGTAAGATGTAATTTTGTGAAATTTGAAATTCATTTTCTCGGGCTCCCATTAGACATTTTCTTTGGTGTTATTACATATGACTTATTACATCTTTAGCAATTGAAAATTGTAAAAAAAGAATGCGATTATAAATATTCTGGTGCAAGGTTTTTGTCCACTGAAAGTTAAAAGTACTCAATTGCCTGGTGGATTCCCTCTTAATAGATCAGATGACGCAGGTGCAAGGTTGCACTTATAAAAAAAGAACGAAAAACACCAGAATACATCAAAGACTACAGGCAAAACCCCGGGAAAACGAGACAAAGATCCTTTTATTAGGCGGGCTACCCAAAATTTCTGATTTTAACTTCTTTAGTGTTTTTTTTTTCAGTCAGTCTGAGTTCTGTTTGGAAAGGGTATATTGATTGCATTAGGTCAACCTAACAAATTATGCTAAGCTTTCATAAAACGTAGGGATTGTATTTTTTTGTTCAGGTTTCAAACCTGTTTCATGCTGATCTAAATGGAAAAATACTTATTTGAAAGAAACTGGTAACTTTCTTTAACTGTTAAAGTTGTAAAAGATGATATGTGATTTTGACTGTCTGCAGCTTCCTGGCTTCACTAAACTCGCGGGATACAATTTAGCAAATGTTGCGCATGAAAAATAAAATGTGCTAAAATTAATTTTGTCGTTTCAGTTATTTGTTTCGATTCTATGGAAGTAAAAACAGTAACGTACCCAGGAAATCTGTGTTTGCATGTTGGTAAATGTAAACATTACATCTACATCTACACTGAAATTGATAAGATATCGCTCCAACTTTCACAAAACGTAAAATGCAAAATAATCAATTAACAGAATAAATTGAATAAAATTGAATAAAGGAAATGGGTGAGTATATGCACGTACAAATTTATGAAAACGGGATATTTTGAAAGATTATAGCAGGAATGCTCTAAGTCTTGTTCGTTTTCAATGTATATCATAGATGAGCGTAAACGAATAGTACATGACGTGAAAAAGTCTCCTCTGTTGCCGAAAGTACTTAGTTGGCCATCTAACATTATGATCGACTGACAAAGAGTTACAACACGCAGAGACCACTTTGAGACCAATATTAAGGAAAGTGAAGGCTTGCATGCGACTTTTTTTCGCGTATGCTACTAGGAACAATATCGGTTTCGTAATACGATAAAACAGGTTATCAACAAACCTGACATCTTGCATGAACTCAGACCTAAACAATTTCCGAAACTAGTGAGCTATGAAGGCCGAGCAATATCCCAGCAATATCGGCTATATGATAATAAAGATGATAACAATTTAACCACGCTGAACTGAAGAAACCTTACAAATGAATTAAATGCTCAGTTTTTTAAGGCAGACATCATAATGATCTAAAACAGTCCTCGGGAACTTGCTTTGAATTGTCATTCTGTTCGTAGCGCAGCCAGACGAGTACTACCAGATGTTGTGTAAACTTTTGACCTTTGCTATGAACACTTTTTTGTCTCTTCTATTAGTTCTTCGCCTGTGACATGTATGCAGTGCGCCGATTGCCAGTCTTCGTGTAAGCTGCAGAATCATATTTTGTGGCTCTTTTTCTCATGCCATATGAATGTGCCCATATTGACCATATTGACCAGTGTCCAAGCGGTTAAATGTAAGACAAAAATAGGTTTAATAGCTGGAATGGGGAACGGGAGTTACGCTGAACGCGTTCTAGAGCCCATCATTTGACAGAGTAGCCTGGAAATTGTATATGAGCCGGGTTGGCCTCGTTTTCCCTGCTGGTTCGCCTTGCCGACATGAGTTAACCCGTCAAATTCTTAAACCGCCTCCTTGACACTTTGTGCCTTATGGAACACTGTGATCGAAGAACATATGAATGCTAGTAAGGCCCCGTTTATAGGGAGAAAACCTGTCCTTGGTAGAAGAGTCACCCTGCCAGACGAGTGATCTTAAGCGAGCGTTTATATGAGAAAATGTTGATTCCTTTGTAAACAGCTCTCGCGCATGCCTTGATTGCCTCGCCTTGAACAAATTGACCCGGCTGGGCGAGCCAAAGAAAAGAGAAGAGTAGCGAAAAGTTGACCCGGATAGGAGAGTGACCCTACATGCCTTGCCGGGCCACCCATCTAGTCGAGCCAACTTTTTGTTTCTCATGTAAACAGTTCACCGCGTTTCGTAAGGAAAATGTATGAAAAGTTGGCTCGCCCAGTGAAGCTCGGTTGGGCAACTTGTTTAAATATATATTTTTTGTGTTATTCTTTTGTTAACTTCTTCACCGCCTTGCCGTAAGGATCAGTTTGCCGTTTCATATTTTTCTATAAGTTTAATTGTACTGATCCAGCTGGTATACAACTGGGAGATCCGGCACCACTCATTGGTTTGTAGCTGTGGACTTGCTGACATTTTATATATTTTGGAGCTCGGTTATAGGCTAGTGACTGTTCCACCCGGGACAACTTTCCTCCCTCCCGGGACCAAACCAGCGTTCATTTGTTCTTGGATCACAGTGTTCCATGAGGCACAAAGCGTCAGGGAGGCGGTTTGAGAATTTAACGGGCCAATTTAACTTTTACCTAGAAAACATGTGGCAAAGGGAATCTTAATATCAAGGAAAATGGCACAAATTGACGTCATAGTTATCTCTGATGAAAATGTAATCTGTCTCGGTTGTATTTTTTCCGCTTTCATCAGACCCACATTGTATGTGGGTGTGATGAATGCGGAAAAATTACAACCGAGAACACTGAAAAAGGTTAGCTTATGCTTAACAAATGGGAACCTGGTAAATAAGTATAACACGATCCGATGGAAGGGAGCGGGGAGGGTGTAAAGCCCTATTAATCGGTGGTCCATTTTTATGATCGCAAACCTTTGATTGAACGAACTGTTTACTGATGGATTTTTGGGGACTTCAACTATGGTAGCTTTTACCACTGGCCAAGGAAGCAAGTGAGATTTTTCTTTTGGTGCTACAAGAATCACTTCTCAGCGGATATATGCTGTCAAGAAACAGCTCCCTGACACCAGCCTTAAAGAGAAGACTTCTATCCATCCCATTTTTCTGAGTCTGCAAAAACTGACTAATGACCCAATGTGCGTGACAGAAAGCCATTGATTGAAAAACCAACAATGTATCGTTTATAGATTCCAATGTGGCCTGTGTCCATGCGGGGCATTTACATGAACTTGAAGATGGACATGCGGAGCAACCTCGACGGCTTGCGAAAACCTTACTTATAAAGTGAAGTCACGCCGTTTCAAATTTCATGACTCCATAACATCTCGTTCAATTTCTCAAATGTTGGCGGATTTTTCAGGAGTTGAATTCAAAATCCTTGTATCTAAGTTCAGAAAAAGATAAAGAAAATTGTTGTCTTGTGTTCTCGTCCCCTCCCCCTAGAGCTATAATCCCCGACGCCCGCCCCCTCGGCACATTTGAAAATCAAGATGCCCGCCATTAATGGTAAGACGCGCTGTATCTCGAAGTTACACGTCGTACAACGACGCCAACGAAACGCGTAAAAACTGAACGTGATATCGCGTGTAACCAGGCCAGGCCCTTCATCTAAACCAGCAATCAGACTCCCTTCAGCTCCATTCATGCTATAAAGTATTTTTTGTAACTTTTCATTGTCGCAATCTCTAGCATGTTAACAACACTGCTTTAAACATTTGTCACATTCTACATTTTAGCGAAACTCGGATTAACTATCATTGATAACAAATTAGAAGGTTCCCAATAAATTTCTTCAATCCCATCATCCCAAACAAAATTTTCGTTCAATCCCTCAATCCCTATGGCTTCGTCGTCCGGCTATATCCAGGGTATAGTGTCAATCACAAATCACGCTAATAAAATCCCGAATCCCGGCTTCCAAATAAGGCAAATCCCGCATCCCGAGAACCCATTGGGGACCCTAAAATTAGTTTAAAACGGAATTCACAACGAAATTGAGTAATTTTAATTTTCAGGTGACAAAAACCTAATTGAAGCAGAATAATTTAAAGCACGTTACGTTCTTTTTTACATTAATTTTTCAAGGGCTAAAGGTATAAAAACGAATGCAATATTCTTTAAATTATTCTGGTACAAGGTTTTTGTCTAATGAAGATAAAATTATTAAGTTTCCTGGTGGATTTCGTCTTAATAACCTATAAAAGTAATCATATTGATATCATAAAAAAAAAAAGCTGCAATGACATTTTTCAATCTTATTGTGCCTTTTCAGCCAAGTGAGTATTAAAAGGGGCCAGCCCCTTTATTCTCTCTCTTGTTGTCAGCTTGTGTTCAAATGCCCCGTTCTAACATAACATAATCTGGAAGAGGATGCTTGCAGTAGGCACGCCATCAGGAATTTAGCGTACTTCTCCTAGAATGGGATGTATGGCTACCTTTATTATTTCTCCCGTCCTTCATAGGAGCAATCCTCATCCCAGATGGTCAAATTAAACTTATTCCTAATATCGTCTGGAGAGGAAAACATGGACCATTAATCGTCTGAGAAACTGACTTGCCCAGAGAAGGTTGGTTTAAACTAAGTGAATATACTACTTAGAATTTGGTGATAGCAGTAACACTAATGTAATCATCGAGGTTCAATAAAATCTAATTCAAATCTTAATGAATTTAGACGAAGGAATTTCTATGAATCTCAAGAAATCACAAAATAACAGAACATGCTTACGATCAATTCAAACAATATTTGTTGAGAACTGTATGAATACGAAATGGCAGGCAAAATCTTTGGGGAAGAGCTTCTGAGTGTGAACCCTTTCCTTAAGTGGCAGGCAAGAACTTTGCGACAGCGTTTCTAATCCTTTCTTTGCTTAAACTCTCAATCTACTGTTTATGAACTCTTATATAATAGTTTTGCTCTTCTCAGCGCATGTTCCCTTGGGCCCTCGAGCTAAAAGGATTGTTTAAACTTCAAGTTTCCTTGATATCTAGCGAGATAACAACTGGACTGCAAAAACAGCCTCGATCATGTTGTAGAATGATTTTAAATCCGAATAATCAGTAAATTCCAAATTGTAGACACGTCTCCTTGTAATAACAGAAGCGATTTGCCTCAGGTTTCCACTGTGATATGCTCCAACTCTTCGCTTTCGGCCGGAATACCTCCTCGCATTGGCGACTAACATTCCTGGTTGGACCATACAGAGATCTGTTGTAAGAAAGAAAAAGGATCTTTCTTTGTAAAGAGTTAACCGTAAGCATAAGCTTAAAGTCTGTTTACGAGGAGTCACACAACTTGTAAAGCGATTCTTGTTTGACCTTGACTGATTATGCACGAAGTAAACTAAGGCAGAGAACAAACAAATTTTAGAAAGTGTTTTATTCCACCAGATTAAATATTTAGGTTATTATTATTATTATTATTTTTTTTTTGGGAGGGGGGGGGGGGGGTTGGGTGGGTTTTTTTTTTGGGCTTTGGGGGTTTTCTTTTTTACGGTTTTTAAAAAATTGTGCTTGTTTTTTTTTACTCACATCAACAAAGCGACACTAAAAAAAGTCTTTTACATAAAACAACAAATAAAAAAAAACTCGGGGGGTGGGCCACTGAAAAGCAGTACTTAAAAAAAAATTTTTATAGCCCACACCCCCCCCCCCCCCCCCCTCCGCCCCCCCACCCCCCCCCCGCCCACCCCCCCTTTCTCTTTACATTCAAAATCCTTACTACTCTTCAATACATTTCAATTAAGTATTTTTTTTTTTTTTTTTTATTTGTTTTTTTTTTTTTTTTTTTGTTTTTTTTTTTTTTTTTTTTTTTTTTTTTTTTTTGGGGGGGGGGGGGGGGGGGGGGGGGTTGGTGCGGTACTTCTTTGGGCCTTTGGTGTGTTACCTTTTGAACGTTTTCAATAACAGTGGACTTGTTTTCCTTATCCCAGGCACTAAAAGGCCATAATAAAAGGTCCTTAAAAATAAAGTACAGTAAAACCCTGCGACTAAGAACCTGGATTTTTCCAAGTTAGTCTAAACAGGTTCTTATATAAATGGTAGTTAGCACATAAGTTTAGCCTATTTAGCTTCTTAATTTTCTAAAGAAAAAAATACAATGTAGATAAGAGTATTTAGTGGTTCAGCTTATTCCTCATTATAAAACGTGCATACCATTGCATTGCAGTTGAAGTGATAAGGCACCCATGTCTCGAAAGAGGATTTTGAATGTTGACTTATCTTATTTACCAAAGTGTACAGAATTTTTTCACAGATTTTAGAAAAAAAGAACCTGTTTCAAATTTAGGCTAAACTAGTTCTTATTATAGAGGGGGCTTAACTGGCAAATTTTACACTAGTAACAGGTTCTTAAAGTCCAGGTTCTTAGTCGCGGAGTTTTACTGTAACCATAAGGGTATAATGTTCATACCTTTCAAGTCAATGATCTTTTTTGTTTTTTCCATTTCATGTGTCTCTCCTTCATCGGCTTGTGAAGTTAATTCAAGTTTGTGAACGTCCTCCTTGAAATGTAGTTCTCCAAAATGAGGCTTTTTATGTCCTATATTTCAATGAAAGGAGTTGGAAAATGAAATACAGCATACTTAATGAAACCTTCTTAATGAAATAATCGAAAAGCGGAGGAAAAAAAAAGCAATGGTCTTGGGCCTGATTGTAAATGTAAATGTAAACTATTTTTGTTTACAACTGAACACTTAGGAGTCCTCAAAAACTCTTTGAAACGTGTCCGCGCGTTCCAGGTCGAATTAGGATTAGAAAGTGTTGGTTTTTAAGGAGAGGGGAAAACCGGAGTGCCCGAAGAAAAACCTCTCGAAGTAAGGGAGAGAACCAGCAACAAACCCAGTACACATATAGCGTCGATGCCGGGATTCGAACCCGGGTCACACTGGTGGGAGGCAAGTGCTCTCACCACTGCGCCAGCCTTGCTCCAAAGGTAGCTATGGTTGCTCCTGCCCTCATAGCAAGGGTGTCTATGTTAAAGAATCACAAGGAACAACACATTTTGATTTTAGTAAAACGTGAGTAGCAGGCAAATAAGAGCAAAGCATCCAAAAATGCTGAATTTTTTTTTTTTTACTATGTAAATTTGTAAAATTAAGTTTTATTAATAAGCTCTGGCGCATACATCGATTTCACGCAGCCATGTGAAACACACTGTAAAGTATTCTCGTATCTTCAGCTGAAGCAAAGATTAATAAAAAGTAATTTGCAACAACCTCCGTCAACTCCTTGGCGTTCAAATGGACAACTCAACCTTTTAATTTACCTTACGTTGGTCCTTTTGGGTAGAAGTCCAGACCTACCTTTCTTTGAGTGGAGGAATACAACTACTCCACTGGAAAGCTTTTCTACGGCTCGTCTCTGACTGAACGTTCTCGTGGGTCTGGGGAATTCTGGGTACAGCAAACGGTATTTGAATAATAGAGCAGTTGCTAAGATACTTCCAGTAACATAAGCGTTAGGCGATTCACTCATGGAATAATGATTTCCAGGACAAACGAGCACATTTATCCCACCATCAACCAACTGGCCCCAAATGTCTTCGACGCTATCTGATGATCTGGGCGAGAAACAGGTATCTTGGCATCTGAGGAACACGAGTGGACCTCGGTAACGGACCTATTGACAAACGGGAGATAAAAAAATGCTTTCATAAAAGGCCTTGAACCTTGCAAAGTTTTTTGTTTTCACAAAAATTATATGGGCGTGGCAAATCTTTGGAACTCATTTAACTTAAATTTTGTTATAAATGATAGCCAACGATGTTTTTCGTCCAAGCATTCAAAAAACAAGAAAATATTTAAAATGAATATTATTTTTAGTAACAGTTCGCAAAACTCTCCAATACTAACCTCGTGACAGATAGGTTGATTTTTGATGTTGGTACGTGACCTTTGTTTAAAACAATTCTAAATCTGAACATTAATAAACGGAGACGAAGCCCATACCTCTGCGGGCTGCCACTCTAGATGTGTCCTACTGGCAACCATTTGATCCTTCAAGAGAGACTCTCTCAGTGTTCTCAAATTGTGGATCGCTAAACCCCTTTCAAGACCCCGTTTTTCTAGCTCATCAACGATCCATTCTTTAGTGTTCTGCTCTCTCATCTTATGGTATTCATCGGATGTCATTTTCAGTGAGTCTATTGCCAGCTTTCTCAGATAATTTTCAAATTGGAGCTAGAAGATAACAATTGGCCGTTAGAATTTGTTGTCACGCTATATATCCAACAGAAACATTAGTTCACTATTTTTCTTGTCAGAAGTCATGCATATATCAAACAGAAGACCATACTAAAAATGAGGAGACAGTGGTTCATACCACATATCAAACGATGAAAAGAGAGGTGAAAATTAAACAGTATCTTTTGTGTGAAATAACCTCTCAAAAAAAGTGTTTTTGTTTTTCTAAAGATATCCAAACAAGCCATAACGCATGATTTGTCAGTATTGTAAGATATATTCTGTCAATGCCACAAAGACCATTTTAATGTGAGACAACTTCTTAACACTAGACTCCCCTTTTAGACCAAGTTAATGACAAACCTCGACATGCCGACGCTGCGAATTTTCATGTTCCTGCATTGAAGGTAATCTGCTACTGACTGTTCGTGACTGCAGGACCCAGGGAAATGTATCAATCATTGCCACGAACTCCACCCTCTGATTATGTTCTGTCATCAGGGAAGCCATTTCATAGGCGAGTAGTCCTCCGTATGAATATCCACCCAAAAAGTAGGGGCCATGACGCTGTTCCTTGGTTATTAACTGAACGTAATGTGCTGCAAGTTCACGAACTCCACCCCAGTCCTCACTTACTGCTGCTGGGTCTGTGTAACCCAGTGCGTAGAAGGAAACTAAGTCCTAAAAAAAACGAACGAAAAAGAGGCCGTATTAAATAAACACTCTGCTAACATACTTATGACATCATAAATCTCCGCAAAATATGCTTTAGTATCTGAATTTACCTGTCCTTGAAATCCTGTCGCAATCGGCACCAAACTCATCGCGTAACGATGCGACGGATGGACACAGAAAAACTTTATGGCTGAGCCCTCTGGAGTGTACAGCGGTATAACCTGTATTCTGATTTCAGACGATCCAGTTATAGGCGATACGTCATCTGTTGTCTGTACTTGGGCCTGCTCAGCCTCTTGTCTGTTATCATTTTGAGGCTGATCATTGGTTGGAGGATTTCCCTGACTTCGTTCAGTCATCTTGGCAGTTATGTCTCTTCCCAGTTTAAGAGGAGTTGTGTCTGGCTGCATGAAGTAGAAGACCTGAAACGGAAGGCCTCTTTTGTGAACTTTTTGTACAGGGAAAAACTCCTTGGCAGTAGGTCCCAAGCAACGTTGGTTTGGACCTTAGAGGTAGCGTGGCCGCGCTGTTAGAGCGCCGGACTTGTAATGCAGAGTCCCTGAGTTCAAGTCCCGCCCTGGCAGCTAACTCGACCATGCTTGTAAATAGCCATCTGGTTTGCCTCTCTCCAGCTGGGATTGTTAACCCTATTATGTTTGGTATACATAGTTTGTTTGAGGCATTTGCTCGACCCCACTAGCATTAGTGCTATAAACACTGCCGAGGGTAAATAGCTATGCACCTGGCCGACTTGTGACGATATTCACCTACATGTCATAACTAATAACCAACGTGATAATCAAGGAATTATTTCTTACCTCAAAGGAAACTTGCAGATTCATTTCAAGCTGCATCTTTAGCGTCAACGCCGCGGTGGAGTCTACTCCATAGCTATACAAGCTTGTGTTGAGATCAGTCTCTGATGGCGAGGGATTTCCAGTCCATTCACTCATTGTCGCAGTAATGTATTCGTTTATGAGCTCTGCCCTCTTTTCTCCATCTTTCTCTAAAACAATTTTTTGGGCCAGAGACTCCGTTGAGTTTGTTTGGTTGTCAGGAGCATTTACTGTTGATATTAAAATGGACAGTCGCGGAGTTTTCTTCAGCCCCGTATTGCTCTTCAAGAATCGAGGCCAGTCTGCATCAAACATTGAGATTTGACAGCGACCAGGGTCTTCAGTTAACACTTTCACCATGTGCTTAACACCTTTGAACACAAATCATTCATTAAGTAAGGCTGCAATTTATTTCATTTATGTAAATTACTTTTGTCGTATTTTTTGAAAGGTGATGCCCAACAACCCTATTAACACTGGTATCATATCTTTTTGTTTAAGTCTGCCTTCACGTACAGTTTTACATGTGTATAATCTTTTTCCAAACTATGTCTTCTTATAGAACAGTTAGCCGCAAGCCTACACCAATCGGTCAGGCCATTTCCCAATGACGTTTTGCCCTAGTAACAAGACATCAATTAATGCTGTACTATTTAAAACGCTCATAGTATTTTCGTCGATCGTATACGCTTACAGTAAGTTTCAACCCACCTTCCCTTGCATCTACAAAACCCAATCCTGCTTGGGTCATCAGTTTTGCGATTCCAGTTTCTCTTTCCATTACACCAGCCCCACTGATTGGTCCCCAGTTTATTGCAAGTCCGGGAAGACCAAGCACATGTCTCCGGTACTGAGCGAGAGAATCTTGGAAAGCATTGCAAGCCGAGTATGAAGATTGTCCCATGTTACCCACGATTGACGCCATGGACGAAAACATCACGAAGAAATCCAGATCCATCTCTAAGCTCATTTGGTGTAGCAACATAGAGCCTAAAAATGGAATAAAAAAAAATTGGTTTTCGTTACTATCATCCGAAGTTTTTGATAGAGAACACTGTTTCTATTTTCTTTAAAACTGCTTTCAAACCTGTTAGCTCATACCGACGTCTAAAACACTGGCGTCGACAACTGCTGAAAACAATAAGCCTGGAAGGATCTGCGAAGTTAGGTTGATTTGCCGTTTTACCTTTGATTTTTGGACCCATAACTTCATTGAAACGCTGAAATGTCAGGTCTTTGATATATTCGTCTCTAAGAACCATAGCAGTGTGTACAATGCCTGCGACATCTGGAAGGGTCTGAAGGCGCTCTTTCAAAGCCAACATTTGTGTTTGGCTGGATACGTCTACCTGGAGAAACCATCGGAAGAGAAAAAAATAAAATGAGTTGATTACTGAAGTCAAGCAGTGGAACTTCCAGCTCAGCCACTTTGGGGAAATAGATAAGCTGCCGCTGACGGAACGTGGCCGTTAAAACAAGAACATCCATAGAAACGCAAAACGTCGCCGTTGTGGAGGGGTAGAATTTCACTCTTTACGATTGTTTATTAAGAAAATGTCTTACATGCACTTGTGTGATCAGTGGCAACAATCATTTCACTCATGGCGAAATGTTATTATTTATGTGTGAAAAAGTATCGTTAATGTTGCTGAGACTAAAAGAAGTCCTACTGTAAAGCAAAAGTTAATTTGCAATTTTAACATTCTAAAGTCAAAGTATGTAAAATTCTTATGAATTGTAGACATATTCTGAAATATTTTTCTAAAATGTTGTTTTTCGTGAGTAAAAAGGTTTGATGACTTAGTGAGGTTGCGAGAAATCTACCTACCTGAACTATATGGATCGTTGTACCGGTGCTCCTTTCAATCTGACGCACCTCTTGAATTTTGGAATCGGAGGGCATGGAGCGGCCGAGAAGTACGATAGACTTTGTACCGTTTTCTGCCATCCATCGGGCGACTTCAAATCCAAATCCTCTCACTCCTCCTGCTACCAGATAGGATTTGTTTTCTTTCAAACCACACCCATCCAAGCCTTGGGGTAGCACTGGGATGCCCTGAAGGTGACCCCCTTCTTCAAATGTTCCAAGTGATTGTATGAGAAAAGAAATGTCCAAGGACTGTGGTTCAATATCTTTAAGAGATGAGGGTTTGTCAGTGGACTCGTTGGCAGCTTTGATTGATACTACAAAGTCTACACACTCAACCGGCATTTCGAAAAGCTGTTGTGAGACTTCGTTTTTTCCCAGAATTTGTATACTTTTCATGGTTAGCTCCTCGAATGCTTTCGGCGATCGTAAAACGTCTAGTATATTCTCTCTCTCATACTTGAAATTCTTGTTCGCAGGAAAGATGACATCTCCTTCAAACTCAGTACTCAAGATAACTACTTTTCCTCCCCTTCTCAGACTAAGACCACTCCTAAGAAGGGCATTTGGACCCTGTGGATTTAAGAACAGAACGGCGTCAAACTGGTCGATCGAATCATCATTGTAGGCTGGGGAACTCTGTCGCTTTACACTTTCTGCACCCAAATCAGTAAGAAGCCTTTTCGTGGATGAACTGCAAGTGCCTGGGATTGTGCAGTACACTCTGTGGCCTAGTGTTTTTCCCAGAAATACTGCTGCTGGTCCGGGACCACGATTGGCTTCATTTATAAGAAGTTTCTGTTTTTCGGCGCCAGCCGCTGCTTTTTGTAGAGCGTGAAATGCCAGCGCCAGGCATGCTGGAAGGTAAGTGGCTTGTTCCATTGTCAGGTTGGGAGGTTTCAAAAACACACTACTGACGTGTATTGGAATAAAACGTGCGACACGGCCAGAGGGAATGACTCCACACACATTGTCTCCAATTTGCAAAGTACTCTCGCCATTTATAGGGAGATCAGAGACTTTTCCACTCACAAAGACACATCCATTTGGTTCAGACACATCAAAGAGTGATTCTGAGGGGGTCCAACAATAGCAAACTTCTACAATGACTTCAGACTGCGTTGCCTTTGGAAAACATTTCTCGCGAAGGCAATGCGATTTTGACGAAGGAACTGTTGAAAGATATAGAAGTCCATCTTTCTTCCTCTCTTTTCTTTTTACTCTTTTTGAGGTGTCCTGTTGTAATTCCGACCTGACAAGACGATTTATAAATCGTCTTCTATCTCGAAAGGCCACCTCGTCCTCCACGCTGTCACCTAAAACTTCATCAACTAAGGAGTTAATTTCCCGTTTATCTTCTTTGTTACTCAGGTCGACGGTGGTAACCCTGAGATTGAATTCTTCAAGGTTCGCTGTTCGTCTTAGTCCCCAGACTGTAGAACCCCATGGAATGAATTTACCTTTACCAGAGTTGTCACAGACATCCAAAAGCTGTGTAAACTCGGTGACGAGAAACAGCCTAGAATCCATGAGCTCCTTCTCTATTAACAGCTGCAGTAGGAAGACAGAGCTGCTGAAGGCGAGTTGTTGAGATTGTTCGATGACATCAAAATGCTCTGGTAGAAGTGATGTATCCACAGGCCAGAGATTGATAACCCTCAAAGAATGGGAATTGATCGCAGAAAACTCAGCAAAGGCAATTTTTATTGTGTCTTGGACTTCAGAGTCAAAACAGTGACCATCTGGAGGATTTACGGCGATGACATTGACTTCCCGAGCTTGAAGTGATGAGATCAAATAATTCGACAAATCAGAGGAGTCTTTAAGTACTATGAAGGTCAGAGGGTGGGTTCTTTCTCCCTGCCTTGTTAACTCAGCTTCCCTCCATTGGACGTCGTAGGCAAGATCAGCTAAAGGAAGTTGACGCGGTGAGCTTGTTAACTCTGCAACTCGGAAATCAGTCATAGTGAGCAAAACGTAGCCACTTGGATTCATAAGCGTCACATCAAATCGCCCAAACTCGGAAACATTGGCAGTCACGTGGCAAAATAACTGGCTCGTTAATGGTAAGTCATTCAGTGCAACACGTTTGAAACCAACTGGCACAATTGACTTATCATCAATCGAAGAATTTCCCAGAGGAACAAAGCAGGATTGAAGACAAGCATCTAAAATAGACGGATGAACAACATAACGACCAGTTTCTTCTTGGATGGTGTGTGCCTCCGCGATGTCTATAAGGCATAGCCCCTCGTTGTCGCCTTTCCATATCTCTTTGATGATGGAAAAGGTAGGGCCATAGTTAAATCCAAACTTCTCTGTTACTCCTCGGAACTCTTCATTCGGCATTCGTTCCATATTTTTTAGAAGCTCACTTATTGCTGGACCAGCCGCGGTAGATGCTAAGAAAAGAAAAAAAAACAAACTAAAGGGTTCCCATCTTGTTAATGCGTAATAGCAGTTACTGTTATGCTTGATATATTGGCTGTTTGAAGAAAAACAAAAACTTAGGAGACTAACACGTAATTTACAATAATGGAAGACTAATAGCAGTTTGAATAATAATCCACTGAAAAATATTTTGACACGAACGAATTACAATATAGGTTTATTCTTACTGCTATAAGCAAGTGTGGGAATCTTTGGCTCTTTGCGAGCGTTCATGGAACATTTACAGCATTTACTTAGTGTAAGGAAAATTAAACGAATTTATTAATAGTACCTTTGTGATTACCCTTCTTCTGTGTTTGAAGAAGATCCAGGCAAATTTTTCCACTGCTTAGAATGATCTCGGAATGGTCATCCTGTACACTTGTTATGTGGTACTCAGCCTCGTTAATCCTTTCAGTCTTCTGGAGACGCAGACGTAACGATCGAACCTGCAAAAGAAAAAGATATAGAGTGAATGTTTTCAATTTAGGAAGTTCAGGATTTATGAACGTGTATTTTTTGCTCAGGTACGTTCGTAAATATCCTTTAAATGCACGATCATTCTATTTCATAAAAGGCATTAAAAACACATTACATTGGAGTTACCTGTGTTTCTGGAAGGGTGAGGAGGCTTGACAGCTTTACCTCAGATAGTTCCAGGCCAGCCACGTGCACGAATTGATCCATCGCCATCGCAAAGGCCATTTCAAGATACGTAGCACCTGGCATGACGGTTGTTCCTTGGATAAGAGCGTGATCTTTGAGATCAGGGAAGCGATGGAGGTCAATTTCCGTTTCCCAGCAGTGTAGGCCTGAGTAAAGACTGGTTTGCTTCACCTTTTCCAAAAATGGATGACTTTTCTTTTCTTCCCAGGGTTTGGCATCAACTGGTTGAATTATGTTTTGGGGTGGACGTTCTCTGTACCAAAAAGTGTTCTTAATCCATGGATAGGTCAACGAGCGAACAAACTTTGCCGAAGGAATTGTCTGCACACAAGTCCAATCTATAGGAAAACCAAGTGTGTACAGTTTGCATACTGTGTTTAGAAGAAAAGACTTGCATTGCTTGTTGACAGCGACTCTCTTACGAGGAAGGGTCTCCAAAACGATTGGCTTTGCTTGGTCTTGAAAGTTTTCTTGCATAGCAATCTTTTTAACATAATGTGCTAAGATAGGCTGGGTGCTAATTTCAATGACCTGTTTGTAACCATCTTGGAGAAGGTGTTTCATTGCTGAGTAAAACTGAACTTGACAGCGGATGTTACGCCACCAGTACTCGTTGTTAAACTCTTGACCACAAAGGACTCCTCCTTCAACTGTAGAATACATTGGAATCTTGGACAGCTTGGGATGTAACGAAATACGCTTCATTGCTGCTTGAAATGGCCTTTTAATGAATTCCATGTGTGAGCTGTGGAATGCACGTTTTGTTCCAAGAACACGCCAGAAAGTGTCTTTTTCGTGTATTCCAATGTGTTGACCCAAAGCTTCAACTGATTCAACATCACCAGACACTGTCACGCTCTCTGCATCGTTGATTGCGGCAATGCAAAGGGTAGGAGTTAGCTTCAACTCATCTAATAGTGCTCTTGCTCTTTCTTCGGACATACCTAAGGCCGCCATGCTACCATTACTAGGACACTGATCTTGTAGAGAGGAGCGAGTCAACACCAGGTAAACTGCTTCCTTTAGGGTTATGATTCCAGCAATGCATGCTGCAGCAATCTCTCCAAGACTATGACCAAGTACAGCGGAGGGATAGATTCTCCAAGACATCAGAAGTTTTGCAGTTGCATACTGTATTGCAAACGTTGCCGGCTGAGCAATGGAATTTTCTGCGATCCTTGATTTCTCCTCTGATGCCATGAGCTCATCTAAAAGTGATATCGATTTCCACAGATCTTTTATCAAATTGTGGACAGTTAAAAAAGCATCTTTGAAGACAGGTTCCATTTCAATTAGCTGTCTTCCCATAGCATACCACTGGGAACCTTGCCCTCCAAATAAGAAGACAATTTTTGGGTTAACTGCGTTCACCTCTCCGTAAGCAACAACTTTCTCCATTCCTACTGAGTCATTGGCGTACTCTGTCAAAATCTTGGAAGCCTCGGGTATAGCTTCGAAAGCAAGAGCTAAGCGATGGGGAAACTGACTGCGACGTTCGTTCAGTGAGTAGCACAAGTTCTCCACAAATGTCGCATTATCTTTTGCTTCATCTTCGATCCACTGAGAGTAGAGTCGTGCCATTCGTTTGAGAGCTTCTTGAGAACGTGCAGAAAAGGTGAGGATATGACATGGGCGTCGTCTTATTTCAAGATCATCATCGACGGTCGCCTTTTGTGTCGCTTCCCGAAGGATAACGTGCACGTTTGATCCACCGTAACCGAAGGAGTTTACGGCACCTGTTAGTGGTTTTCCTGCTTCTGTGTTCCAGGGTTCGCTTGTTTGTTGCACGACAATTCCTTTTTGCTGTAACTTTAATTTTGGATTTAGTACATGCACATTAACAGTTGGAACTAATTTCTTGTTTTTTATCATTAACGCGACTTTTATGATCCCAGCCAGGCCTGAGGTAGATTCTGTATGATTTAGGTTTGACTTGACAGATCCTATTTTTAGCTGTCGTGTGGTTCCTCTTGTATAGACATCGGCTATTGAAGTGACTTCTATAACGTCACCAATCGCGGTACCTGTGCCATGGGCCTCAAAGTAACTCACTTCCTCCGGATTCAAACCTGATTGTTCAAGAACCATTTTGCATAGTTCAGCTTGCGTCTTAGAACTTGGCGCTGTCATGGGTACCGCATTTTGACCATCATTGTTCATACCGCAGGCAATTATTGAACAATATTCATCATCCTTATCATTCAAAGCCGCATCAGAGAGCTTAAGAACAATTGCTGCAAAGCCTTCTCCCCTTCCATAACCGTCGCCAGAGGCATCAAAACTCTTGCAGCGCCCATCAGGCGCTAGCAGGCCAGCCATGCTAGTAATAATTTGCATTGCATGGCTTAAGACAATATTAGGTGCACAAACTATTGCTATGTCACAATCGCCATTATGAAGGTTATCACAAGCAAGTTTGAGTGCTGTTAAGGAAGACGAGCATGCGGTATCAACCGCAAAACTTGGACCTGTGAGGTTGAGGCAAAATGATACTCTGTTTGCTAGTATGGATGCTGTTATACCTGTTGAGGAAAATTGGTCGATATTGTTGTAATTTGATGGATCTGTTATCAAAGTACCGTAGTCTAGGTTCATCACACCCAGAAAGACCCCTGTCTTACATCTCTGAAGATCTTCAAGGCGTATTCCGGCGTCTTCAATGGCCTCATACACCACCTCTAAGAGAATACGTTGTTGGGGGTCCATTGCACGAGCCTCTTGTTTGGATATGCCGAAGAATGTGTTGTCAAAATATTGAATATCCTCCAAATAAGAGCCCCTGACAGCACAGTGACGTCCAGTGACAAAGCGCTTGTGATGGTAAAGTCGGAAAAGCGTTTCACATTGCTCTTGTCTATTTTGGGGGAAGTCTCGAATTGAACTCTTTCCCTGCACAAGTAAATTCCAAAACATCTCTTTACTATTTGCTCCAGGAAATCTGCAGCTGATACCGACAATGGATATTGGAGGGCGCCTAGATGTCGCCTGTGGCGCACCACCATATCGAATTTGAATAGACATTTTCCTCCTTTTCTGGTTCGTTCGGTTGGGTAGCATATTTTGAAAGTCAAAGCTGTCCATCAACTCGAAAAATAATGTGACTGTTGGTGGCAAGATTACCAGAGCATGGATCAGTCCCAAAGCAAATACGACAGGAATAAGTCGAAAGAAGATGTCCTGCAGGCTTGGGTAAATAAGCCCCAACGAAACGGAACCTGAGATCTCGAGAAAGGCTGCCATAAACACAGGCAAACCAACCGATTCCAACGCCTTATTCATGCGTTCTCTTACTATTTGTTTGTCTGAATAAATAAATGAATGAGCTATTTGAACGCTAAAGTTGTGTGCTAAGACAACTGTCAAATATAAGGCAATGAAGGCGAGGTGATTGAACTGAATTGACCAAATTTTCATAATGGCTGCTGCCTCCAATAGGAGTAAATCAAATATAAGCGCCAAAAAAATGCTGATCCTTAGGCTTGAACTGGATAGAAAACAGGTCCCAAAGGCCACAGCTGTAGCAATGATAAGAAAGAGGACAGTTTCTCTTTCCAGTGATGAAAGGTCTTCAACCTTGAACAATGTCTGCGACACTGGTTTAGGCTTCAAGGAGACTTTTAAGTCCTCCCTTAGTTTCTCTAGGTTGCCTTTGTTTTCATTTACGGTTTTCTGTACTACCATCTTTACATGATACCGAGATGCGGAAATCGGAAAATTGACATCTTTCTCGTCAACCAACACATCTCGTCGAAAAGGTAGATTTTGAGATTGATTGAGAAATTTGTGGAGGCAAGTGCGAAATTTTAAATTTGTGCAGCTCTTGCTTTTATTCTTTAACAAGGCAGAGAGCCAACACACCGTTCTCTCTTGACTGAAAGAAGCCTTTCCAAGAGATCCACAGATTTGAAGCATTTCTTCTTGAATAGTCTTCTGCGAGTAATCAGTCCTCCCGGAAAACACGATACTTACATCTGTTTGTTTTCCAAAAAACTTCTTTTGCGCTTCATTAAACTTGATGAAATTATCATTTTCTTGATAGAGGTTTTCTGTAGAAAAAGTTCTTTGACTTGTTTGCAGAGCAGAGGAGATACAGATACTGATGAAGCAGACAAGGAGAATGAAAGAGATGACTTTACCACCAAATGAAGTAAGCGGACGAGGAAGGTTCTTAGTAACGTACCAAATGACATTATGTACTCGCTCTCTCTTTCCTTGCAAGAAGCTGCTAATTTTCGTTCTGGGACTCATGCAAAATGTGTTTAAGGTTTTTAACTGCTTTTCGAGTGAAATTGTTAAAGTGGGAGCGATTAAGAAAGACGCAACCGAAGCAAGAGCAAAAGCTATCACTGTCACCAAAAAGAATTCGGATGTAACCTCAAAGGAAGATTTGATTGCAATTCCCAGGAGAATGGTTGCACAAAACGCCGAAAAGAGTTGGACTGTTCCCACTCTTGCAATGCAGCTGGTGACTCTATAATCAAGCGAATGTACAATGTTCTGTCGTCTCCACTCTCCCAAGAAGAGAGCAACGTCTGATGTTGATTTTCCCAACAGAAGAAATGAAATGAAAATGGTGGTCGGGAGTAAAGAAAGGCCGGCCATGGAAACAATGCCTGCTGTACATATATAGGGTACTAAGACAGTTGAGGAAATGAATAAAGCAGTTGTTAAACAGCACAAGTTGCTGAAAACAATGTAAATGATAACAAGTGAAAGGGATAAAACTATTAATATTGACAAAGAAAGCGCCATTATATCTACTTTCAAGATATGTTGCAAAGCATCATCGGTTGCTCTTCCACTCTTGTAAAAGAACGATGCGCATTTCCATCTATCTCTTAATGATGAGACTTGGCTCTCAAAAGTGGCTTCAAAGTTTTTTACTTTCTGGTCCTCCTTCTCAGTTGTTGGATTTTTAATGAAATAGGTAATTCGAAGAGCTTCAGCCTGGGAAGTTGGCGGATCTGATCCATCATTGACTTTAAAATTACTAAGTATCTGCATGTGAGAGAGTTTCAATGACTGGCCATCTGAAAGTATTGTCCTAGGATTATTCCACTCACGAACCAGAATGATGGAAGGTTTCTTAAATTGTCGAAGTTAGAACCAGCTAACTCCAATGGACTACTGACGATGCAGTTTCCTTTGTCTTGTGTTTTGGTGTTGGCGTTTGACGGAGGCCCTGTGAAGCACAAACGTTGGAAATCACTGTTATTCAACACCGTCTGGTGCACAAGCTTAGCTTCCTCTAAACATTTCTCTTCTAAAATATTTCCAGTAAGTTTAGGCGTCACTATGATCTGCTCCTTACGTGAATCAAGGAGTGGAAAGAATTGTGCTGCATACTCTAAGTCCATCCTTGATTGGCTATTGGTTACAGCCAGTTGTTTACTGGATAGCTGCTCAACACTTATCCGAATAAAACCCAACAAGCTAGCAACACAAACGACAAGTGAAACGAAGAAGATAATCAAGGGCCTTTGTCTGGCTAGAAAGAAACCAAATTTTTCAAACGCTTTCTCGTAGGCTGTGAGTATGTGATACGAGACATCCCTTCGTCCACGAAAGATAGTTCTTGGTCCAAGGCGATTTTCATTAGATGTCTCGTAGAGGTCAAAAGATCTGAAATCGAAAAGGAGTAATAATAATAATAATAATAATAATAATAATAATAATAATAATAATAA